AAAAAAATAGAATTCCTTGAGCAACAGCTTCAAGAAAAAGATGCAAAATTGACATCATTTTTGTCCGATGAGCAAGTAGGAGCCCTTGCTGTGCAGTCAAAAAGGAACTGGTCAGAAAAGTCCATTATAAAAGGACTGAAAGATGCGATTTGCTTTGGGCAAACATGGATATAATTACCTCAGAAGTACTGGATATCCAGCACCATCGTACAGTACCTTGAACAGGAGGATTAGGGAAATAAAAATAAATTTCGGCATTTTAGAAAATTTGTTTTTTTTTCCTCAAGACAAAAGTTCATTCATTGGATGCTCTTGATAGGAACTGCTGCCTTTTAGTTGACGAAATGGAAATAGCTTCATATCAAGATTTTGATACATCGTCTAAGTCATTCATTGGAAATGTTACGTTAGGAAAACCTGCAGTTGCTAAGCATTACACTATTGTAATGCTTAGAGGCCTTAAAACATCATGGAAACAGATTGTTGCCAATGAATTAACAGGGCCTTCAACATCAGGTTCTGACATGAAAGATCTAATTCATAGAACTGTAGTAGCAGCTACAGAAATAGGTTTAACTGTAAGAGCCTCTGTTTCAGATATGGGAAGCAATAACAGAGCAATGTGGTCGTCATTGGATGTCTCTGTCTCTAGGACAGATAGGAAGACAAATTACAATATTGGAGGACCTGATGTTTTCATTCACAGTATTGCAGACGTACCACATCTCATTAAAAACATGAGAAATGCATTTCTTTCAAGTATTATGATATTACCAGAGGAATTTCGCCAGCAGCATGCCTTGCCATCGAGGATAGTATCTTCAGTGTATGTGAAACGACTCTGGTCAAGTGAGATAGAATCAGATGCTGCCCTGAGATCTCTACATCACTTGAACAGAGTTCCTCGATGAATGTGGCATCTGCTGTGCAATTGTTTTCTGTAAAAACAGCTGCTGCTATTGAAAAAGCAGTTATTTTACACCAAGTTGCAAAAGAAGCATTAACTTTCTGCATGGTGGCTGAGACTTGTAGCAGAATGGTTTACAATTATGACTGCAAGGCATCCAAAAAAAGGCATCACTATCAAAAATCAAGATGAGAAATTTAATATTTTATTGAAATTCATTCATGTGACTGAAACTGTTCAGTTTGGAAAAAGCATGGAAGCCATTTCAAACTGGCATTATTATGAGCACATTGAGTGTTGTGAAACTCTCAAAAGAATTATTTTCCGAGGGGTTTACATTTTTCTTACCAGGCAGGTTGACACAAGATGCGCTGGAAAATGCCTTTTCACAGATTAGACGAAAGTCGGGTGCAAAGCCTACTGCTTTGCAAGCCAAGAGAGCACTGAAATTAGTGTGCCTATCACAGTTCATTTCGGATATCAATAATCCAAATTATTGTTCTGAAAGTGACCACAGCCTCTTTGATGCTTCTGAATTAGAGGTTGCTATCAGAAAGGAGGTCTTGCATCCTATCTCCAATTCTGTAGTGCCATCTACCTCTTCTGCAGTGGCAGTGGGTGAAACGTCGCTTGCCCCCAGCTGTGGAAGAAAATGATATACATTACATCGCAGGAGCCATATATAATAAGTTGTTGAAAAAAAAAAGCATATGTGAAAATTGTAAAACAGCTATGACCATTTCAGAGGACATGCTGGAACCTGACATACCCGAGCATCGCACAATTCTTACAAAACACAGCAATAAAGGTGGACTGAAGGTCATCTCTTCAGGAATGTATCGAATGTGTAGGGAAGCTGAACGAGAATTTCAAAAATGTAAAGATGTACTCCTTCGTTTACAATCAGCCATCACGAAAGAATAATTGATAAATGTACGCATGTGGCCATGCCAGAATGCTGTAATCTTAAGAAAGTAATTATTGATAATTTTTTTGTTACTAGATGCAAAGGCCTTACACAGCATCTTATCAACAAAAGAGCCCATAACGTTTCATATTCATCAGCATCGGCCAATAAGAAACAAAAAGTAAAATAATTTTAGAAGGTATGTATGTTTTATATTAAATAATTTATGTGTTTTATGTAATATGTATTACTTTTTCCTAGGCTACGAGTATATAAATTTCTGTGTTTGATGTTATATATGTTACTTTCTGCTAGGCTATGAGTATATTATTATGGTATTATTTTCTTGTTTCTAATATATAGAAATATAGCATATTTTCCAGTATAAAATTTCAGTTAAGTTTTACTTAAAAGTATGGGAAAGCAGATTTGTTTCATGCATGATCTTTATAATACTGGTATGAAATAAATGAATTTTAATCTGTAAACAATTTTTTTGTTAATATTGAAATGTGTTTCTTTGGATACATTTTTAGGCACTTGTGGATCATGTCAGACAACATGCAATAGAGAAAAGTTGTCCATGTGCATAAATTTTCCCATTGTGTTACTTCATTTTATCTAAATTTCAAGGATAATTCTTTTCATTTTTATGTAGCATATTATGTTATCAGTATAAAGGCTATGGAAAATAAATTGGTATGTGTATCTGTTTTTGAAGTGTAATGCTTAAATAAAAAGATGGTGTGTGTTTCTTCATTTTAAACAAAATTTCAAGGATAGTATTTTTCAGCATTGTACTGTTTGTTATTTCTCAATGTAAAGGGTAACAAGGGGAAAAAAACTGGTATGGTACATCTGTTTTTTAAGCATGATAATTTTATTTATTTCTTTAGTGATGCATATATATATAGAGAGAAGGTATTTGGTCCAACTGAAGTTATAATAAATCTAATTTTACTAGATCTCTTTCTCCCGTCAGGTGTAGAAAATTTTCAAATGCAGAAAGTTTGTTTGCAGAATTAATTCATTTCTGATAAACTTATTATCATTAATTTTTTATATAACATGTTATTAAGTTACACATTTGACTACTGTGTAATAAACTTGTATTTAGGGCAAAAAATTAACTATTTTGCAGCTGGTGACTAATATCATATGCTTCTAAGAATATTACTTTTAACTTTTTTTTCATAATTTTTGTATTTCAGGAACATGAAACTGTTATTTTGATATACTTAAATAAAAGTGTGTATCTGAATCAATTAATGGATACAAATATTTTACAGTTATTTTTAGAAGATATTTGCCATATCGCTTCTAATAATTCATAAAGTATGTTAAAATATAGGTAAATAATTTTGGTGCAGAATTCAAATTTAGGAGTTGGAATTACATGATAAAATATAGAAAATGAGTGCATCATGAGACTAAATGATTTTTATTGTCATGATTTGCCTGGGCTTAAGAATGTACTTTTCGCCCGGTGGAAATTGTCATCAAACTGTCCTGAACAGGCTTTTTGTTGATAATAACTTCCAGGCTTATCAGTACCTCCATTTGAGTGGAGGGTATACAAATATAGTACCCAATTTAAATTACATTGTGATTATAATAATATTGTGGTATTAAATAAGTGATTATAATTACAATTTAGATAATTGCATTGTAATTATATTACATTGTATCTGTGAACTCTTAATTTCATTACTTTATGCAATTATGTTGTAAGTGCATAATCTAATTGCAATAATATAATCTATTCACAATTACAAAATAATTATAAATGCAGTTACATCTTAAATAGAGGCCATTTTAATACTTTTAAATTTTTTGCAAGATAACTTCCCATTAAGGTTCATTTGGAGGAAACTATGCAAATACTAAAAAAGAAATTATGCTAAATTTACATATTTTGTACAGTAGTTTCTTGTTATAATGCTGTTCAATATATCTTCAATACTTTTGTAAATTTAACGACATTCATTGCAATCACTGTGGTGCTTTAAAAAGAAGTTTCTTAGTTATGCTTTCTAATAAGAATGTGTTAAAAATTAAGTATTATGTATAATAACTAGCAATTAAAAAACCTTGACTGCATGAAAATGCTGTTTGCTGTGTAAAATAGAAAATAAGCTTATGAAAGATAGAAATAAGCTATTTTATGACTATTAGAAATTTTGAATATTAGAAAATAAGCTATTTTATGCTTTGAAATGAATTACGTGGGGTTAAGTCGTCCTTTTTACAATTTTAAGAATGTGGTTAACACACATTCTTAAATTGGACAGGTTTTATCTAAATTATTAGTATAAAAATATATAACTAGGAATTATTTTGTAACATAACTCAAATTACAAAATTCATTCTATATACGTTCAAATTTTATTATCTTTTATGGAATAACTGTTTTTAATTTAGGTAAAATTGGATTTTTAGAAGTATTACAAATACAATGCAACACAAAGGTGATCTGATTGGAGAGGAAGGACTTTTTATTACGGTTTCTAGTTCGTATTTATATTACATTTGGTGAAAATCATCCAAAACACAGAATGCTGTACTTTCTTCTTCCATATATGTTATGAAATATTCACACATTTAAAAAAAGTGTTTCTTCAGAGTCTTGCACAATTATTTCCATATACCTCAGACTAAAATGACAACATATTCTTAAGTTATTTTTTTAGTATGAATTTAGTGTTTTTATGGAAATTTTTGTTAAAATGTCATTAAGATAAATTTATTTGCACACTCTACGCTTTAACTATTTCCCCATTTGACACTATTGAAAGTTTTTATTCATATCTTATTTATTTTAGTCTGCTAACAAAACTGAAACATCTAAAGAATAAGTTATTTTGAATATGTTTACAAAATATACGCGAAATTTTTATTTAAGTGAAAACGTCTATATACTATTCGAGAATTAATAAATTATCCGAAAAGTTTATGTGCGCTGAATGCCGCGCGTCTATAAAATAAATCTTTAAAAAAACAGCAGACATTCAGCCAGCGTGTGCGATAAACGCGCCAAAATTGGTAGCGCGGTCCCTCCCTCGCCAAGAGAGAAAAGTTAGTGATTCAGCCTGGTTTAGAGGAGCCTTATACAGGCCTGCTCCAATCTGATGATCACATGATCTGACGTCATAATCTTAGTCCTTCAATTTTGTAAGTTGGCATTGCTTCGCCGTAGGACTAGTGCTAGTGAGATAATTGTTTACATGTGTTTTTTCTTCTGAAAAATTTTGTATTTTACCGGAAAGTAAAATATTATATTGTGAATTCGATTTATGTGTATTCTAGAAAGCGAAGTGTGTTTTAGAATGCCAAGAAAGTGTAGTGTACCGTAAATGCCGATCAAATTACGATAGCACTAATGAACATGTGTCCGACTTTCAAATTTCCTTCGGTATCCTGTACTCTCTCAGAAATGGATAAAAAATATTAATCGCAAAGATTTTGTAGCTGGCAAACACAGTAGTGTATGCATTAAGCATTTTGAAGAAAAAATTTGTCGTTCGAGAAGATAAAGCTGTTCGTGATGATGGAACGGCATTAGTAATGGTTTTGCAAGAAAAATAGATCTTCCCTCTTCATGGATATTCATAACCAAAGGTAAGATCTTTTGGCTATCGAAATTAGAATTTTTAAACTGTTCAAAAGTGCTTGTGCTTGTATCTTTAAAAATATTGGACGATTTAAATGTAAGAGTTTTTTTCAATGAAAATGAAATTCCCATTGAAAAGTTCAAATGGATATTTGGAGAAGAAAAACTATGTGATAAATGGTTTAAACTTGAGACAGTGATTAGCCATTTGGATGGTTTTTCTGCTTCTGATATTCATGATGACTGCAATTTAAATTTAGATAAAATATCAGAACTACTGTTGAAATGTGCAGAAACAGAAAATAATCCACATTCTGAGAAATTTAAGTTTTTGTATGAACAGATTCAATTAATGCAAATGAAACAGCATTCGTATAGTGCAGAATTCTTTGCCTGGTCTTGTTATATATTTTATTGTAACCCAAACCCAAACAGCTACAATATTATACGTAACAGTAAGTATTTTATATTGCCTCATCCGTCATACTTAAGGAAGTTATCTCTGAAAATTGGCCGAGCAGATTCTGGATTACAAACAAGTCACTGGATGTATTTGAAAAAAAAAATGTGAAATTTTAAATGATTCTGAAAAAATTGTCGATTTATTATTAGATGTGATATATATAAAACCACAAGTTTCGTATAAAAGTGGTCGTGTTTTAGGTGAATTATCCGAATTATCTGCAAACATTTATGATAAGCTATATTAGCAAAAAACAGAGATATTGTAGCAATGTTTCCCATAAAAAACTTATCATCACATCAATTATTAATATTTACAAAACAAGTAATTAACCATGTACAGTCTTGTGGCTATCGAATCATAACTCTAATATAAGACAATAATAGAATTAACAGAAATATGTTCAAAATGCTTTGTGGTGGTGCATTAAAATCCTCATTTATAAACCCTACCATGCATAATCTTCCTATATTTACATTATTTGATACAGTTCATTGGTAAAAGTTTACAATTGGGTGCCCCTCGTTTATTGGCGATTCTTTTCTTGACGCCAAGATCGGCGCCAGGAAGTCACAATTTCAAGATGGGCCGCTACACAAAACCAAAATAAGAAGTCGAAGAATTGCATAAGATCTGTGTCCATGTACACATCGATCTGTTTTTACTTAAAAAAACATCCTAGAATTGCACAAACTAGGCATTGCGCCTTAAATATGTCCATGTACACATCACTCTATTTTCATTTAAATAAAATCGGGAAGCTAAAACAAATTTAAAACTATTGTGGTAACCAGAAGTGAGGTTTCATCGCCAAAATTTTTTAAAAAATGTCGCCAATCGAAGGGGCACCCAATTCTACACTAAAGCCAGTTCATTTATTGAAATCTATACGAAACAACTGGTTCAATCAGAAACGATTCAAACCAAACATTTTTTATATCGTCATTTGAAAACTCAAATATTGTTTACAATTCCAGTGTTCTACATTTAAAAAAATTGTATGAAAATAGAAAAAAACGATAATATTAAAATGGCTCCAACTTTATCAAGGAAAGTTTTATTTCCGTCTTCTATAGAGGAACAGAATGTAAGTACTGCTATTAAACTTTTTGATGAAAAGACTTTAGCTGCTCTGCAAATTGAATCGCAGAATAATAGAACACGGTATGGAAAAGATGTCTTAAGAACTAAACATTTTATTGATGTAATTTTAAAGTGGTAGAAAATTGTAAAAGTTAAACACTCTAAAAAGGCCTTACAGTTTCGATATGTATTTATGCAGCCTATAAGGACAACAGAAGATAAAAGCTTAGAATGTTTATCACAGTTTTGTACGTGGCTTATATCATGGAACGATTTTTGCCCAACAACAAAAAATTGTAAGTCACAAATTGGGAAAACTGTCAAAAGAAGCCCAAGTTGCTCTTCTCCATACAACAGCAACATTGAATGAACTTTCAAAGTATTTGTTAAAAGAATTTAAATTACCTTTTATTCCTTCAGGAAAATTTCAGACAGATAACCTTGAGGGACGTTTTTGGTCAATTTCAACAAATGAGTGGCTGTAATTATAATGTATCCTTACAGCAGATTATAGAGTCGGAAAGAAAACTAAAATTAATTAGTTTGCTTAAAATGCAAGTCTTCTGAGAAAGGTTGATTTATTTTACAACATTTTTTCTTGTAATGATATTGAAGATTTTAATGATGATCAACTTATTGATAAGGAATTTGGTGATGTTTTGCATCAATCCAACGATGTTAATGTTACAGAAAAAGATACAATGTGTCTAATTTACATTTCTGGATATGTTTGTAGATCTGTATTGAAGCATATAAATTGTAATCTCTCCAGGAAAAAATTAATTCTTGACAAAGAAATGATAGTTGAATATTGGGAAGATTTTGCGTACTTAGCTGCTATTGATCGAGGTGGTTTATTTTGGCCAACAGAATTCGTGCTTTTCATTAATACCTCTGCATTTAAAATATTTTCAATCCTAATATCTGAAATGTATGAGAAGTTATATATTTCATCAAAAAATCAACATTCTATATTAATAAGTCTAATCACAGAGAAAGTTGAAAACAGGATTATTTGGAATGATAGTATTTGTGAATGTGGCAAATCATTGCATGATTTGTTGAAAAGTTGTGTCACACGCATTTCCAATATATTGCAGAATATTTACTGTAAGGTTAAAAATAACAATTTAAAGGAAACCAATGACCAAAAAAGAAAAATGGGTAAATTAAATAATTCTGGAATTTAGGTGAATTTTTTATGTAATTTTAAAGTTAAATAATTAGTATTTGCAAACTGTGCATAACTGAGCCATAGAAACTTGCTGCTGCCTACTAGTGGCTGAGTGGTAAAATAGCTGAAAACTGATAGTTTGGTCTGGAGTTCCAATCTCGGCGAACGGGCTGGCTGATAATTACCTTATACGGGCAAATAGAATTGATAATTACCTTATATGATCAAATAGAATCAAAAGTTAATTAAGTTTGAAAATATTGACAAGTGTGATAGAAGCTGATAAACCAACAAAAAGGAAGATGTTAATTTTAAAAGTGAAATAAAAACTTGGGAAGTATGGGATGATAATGCGATAGCAAGAAATCTAATGAATTAGACTGTGACAGCTCCATAAGCGTTTAAATATGTGAATGAACAGAATACAAAGAAATGATGGGAGAAAATAAAAAATGAAATGGCGGCAAAAACAGAAGATATTCATATCAAATGTAGAAAGAATTAGCTCAACTGAAAATGAGTCAAAACGAATCTGTAGATGCTTACATGAATACAGCTGTAATTCTGAAAAGTAAAAGCATTCAAGTTGGGATGAAATAAGAGATAAAAAATTAATTTACCTCATACTAGAAGGACATTAAAGTTGATTGTTGTTAAAATTATCAAAAGTAATAAAGAGAAAGATATAGCTTCAATTATACAAGTTTTAAGATAAACAAATTGTAGATCATGATTTAAAAGCAATTTTTACCAAAACTAAAGCAGAAGAAAAGACGAGCGAGAACAATAAAAAAAGATTATGTAGTATGATGTATGAAATGATAGAAGAACTAAGTTCCATGGAGGCTCATGAAGTCTGGAAATTAGTTGAAAGATCTATCAATAAGAAAATTACGATGTTTACGAAAACTACAAAATAAGATTTTTGATGTAAAAACTGCATATTTAAATGGATACTTGAATAAACCAATTTATATGGAACAACCACCTGGATTTAAATCAGATTCAGACTGTCAAGCATTAATAGATTGGATAAAAGAAAACAAAACAAAGTAGTAGTTCAAGGCACATTAATCGAAATCCTTTGCCGTAAGCCAAATCAACTAGCTAAATCATGTTTATTTTTGTAGACCTTAAATCAGGGGCTACAATGATAAGCCTGTTTTGGCATTCATATTTCAAAAATTTGAATGGCAAACTTCTTGTTTGATGTGAATTAATGATGTTTAACTTAATAATTAATATCTTATAACATTGTAATGATTATGCTGGATTTTTCATTGCTTAATACTGCATGCATCTTTTACTATTTGTCTATTATTAAATAAATTTACAGTGTATATTTAATCAGATGTTCTTTCTTATAAGAATTTTTTATAGCATGATATGGTGCTCATTGGGGTAGATTGCATAGTGTTATGATCTCACTTTGTTTTCAGGGAATTTTATAATATATTTTTGGATATGCTACAAGATTTCTCGTATAATGTTCATGCTTTAGAACATCTTTAAAATAAAACTTTTTTTGTCATATATTTCCCAAATGTTCACTTGTATGTTTATAATTAAAAGTACCTTAAGATATTGGATTAAATGTTGAAATGTTTTTTATGAGAAAAAAAAAAAAATGGCTTTTGCTTCAATACAATTGCATGTAAAATCATAAATGTAAATCAAAATTTTATTTAAATTAATATGTTTATGAATTTTGTTATGAAATATCACATATCTTTTTAATATTTAAGCAGTATAAATCAATCTAATTAATTTAAGCAATACAAATTAATGTAGTAGTATGTGGTGTATAAAGAGTTTAAATATTTTTAAAAGAAAAAAAAAAAGAATGTCTAAATTAATTGAATACTAAGCATCTGTAAACTATATCCATTTTGGTATATAGAATGATATAGATGATATATTGTAATATCAGTGAGTCGTAGAAACTTATTCAAGTTTATGAAGTTTATTTTTGTGGACCTCACATCAGAGTCTGCAATAATAATGTTCCATTATTAATATTTAAAAAATTCAAATGACAACTTATTGCAGACATGAAATGATAATTTCAACTGGCTAATGAGTATCTTATACTATCGTAATGACTCGCAGGATTTTTCATTGCTTAATATTGTGTATTTTTAATGAGATGTATTAAGAGTGTATTTTTAATAAGATTTTCTTTCATAAGAATTTTTTGGAGCATAATATGATGCTCATTGGGATTGATTGCATAGTTATGATCTTGCTTTTTTTAAGAGAACTTGAAATATATTTTTGAATATTCTGTGTAATGTTTTTGCTATAAAACATCTTTAGAATGAATGTCTTTTTTCAATATGTAGACTAAACTTCAGATATACTTTTTAATATATTAATGTATTAATAAGATTTATGTATTTCACTTAATGTCCACATGTGTATTTATTATTAAAAAGCTTCTTAGGATCTCTGATTGAATCTTGAAAAGTCTTTATGGGAATAAAGAAAAGAAAGAGTTCATTTTTGCTTCAATATCATTGCACCAAAAACAATTATAAAGCAATATTATATTAGAATTAATGAATTGATATTAATTTTATTATGAAATACTATATGTTTTGTTTAGTATTCAAGCAGTATAAATCAGTCTTCATAATTTAAGCAATATAAAATCATCTGAGAGCTTTAACATATTTTTTCTTTTTATTACAAAATGAAAACATCTCATGTTTAGTTCATTACATATGTTATATTTTCATTGCTATTATCATACCGTATAATTTTTATAAATAATTTTTGTGTCCATTTTATTTCCGTATAAAAGTTCAGATATGTTTCAGTTTAATTTAAATCAGCTCTGCTAAATTTACAATATCACTCAAATCTTATTTTATTTTCTGTTTTAATAAATCGGTATTTAGTATTTAAATATCATTACGATGTAACATAGTACGTTATTATTCCTAAAATTCGAAATATTAGTTGTAAAAATTAATTTGACTTGACTTTTGTGTTGGAAATAAAACGCTGCGCACTACATAAATGAAACAGTCGGCTGCGTCTACCGTGGGAACGATCGCCTTCGATTGTGACGTCACAAATCGGTGGAGCAGGCCTGTAGATATCTAGTTGGCCTTGGCTTTTAACTATATAGGAGCCTTAATTTTAACCTCCTTGCGAAATTGCCCACCCTTTCTATATTCCTTTCCTTCACACCTAAGCTTGATTTTTCGCCCATCGGAGCAGAAAGACTTAGCGGTGCAACAGAAGACATCTGTCTACTTTGTCTGTCTGTCTGTCTACTGTTGGCAACAAACGCTTCTCTCTCTTGTAAAGGGTGTTACGTTAAATTGTCAGTTTTATTTAATAAAATGTGTATAAAGGAGCATAAAGCTCATATTAATATCTAATTCATAAATATTTAATTATGCTTTATTTCTATATACATTCAGTATTTGTAATAAATATATGACGACGTGCTAAGTTACATTAATTAACATTTTTGTTAAGTCGTTTGAAACATTTGTGAATTTATCGTCTGTATAACCTGAGAAAAAGTCTATAGTATGTCAGTCGTAAGTAGTTCATATTTTAGTTTGACCGTTAGGTTTCGAAATAAGTAAGGATAAAATGTGCTATAATGTTAAAAAATTCTAGATGAAATTTGTAATGATTGAGTTATGTTAAGAATGTAAACATGTTCTTTCCTTAACATGGCTAGATTAATATTAAGCAGTATAAGCACGTGCATGAAGGACGTGCACGGTGAAAAGTTACTTAGGAAATGAGACACCAAAAAATTGTCCATTGCCACTTTTACCATGGATTGCATAATGCAGCTAAGCCAAAACCGAGAAAGAGAAAGAATGAAGGAAAAACTGGAGTGAGCCTACGTGTGGGGGGGGGCACCAAAATCTTTTAAGTGCATAGGGCCTCTAAATGTCTTAATCTGACCCTGTGTGGCACATATATTTTGTGTTAACTTTAATAGATTGGAACATGAATTTTAATGTTATCTATAATTGCTTTAAAGATTTCGATAGTACGTTTGTGTCTGGATGAAGGAATATTATCTTTTAATTACAGTGAAAGAATATTTTTTTTCCATTGATAGTCTACAGTTTTTTAGACAACTAGCTGGGAAAATTGAAGGTAAGAATATATTTAAGGGTTCCCCTTGGCAATTTCTGGTGATTGGCCAGCAAGTTACAATTTCAAGCTGGCTGCTGTATGAAACCAAAATATCAAGTCAAAGAATTGCACAAGCTCAGTGTCCATGTGCACATCGATCTGTTTTCACTTGAAAAAAACTCTTCAGAAAATTGCACAAATTCAGCATTTTGTATCGACTTTGCATTGTGACCATTTACACATCAATCTATTTTCACTTTAAAATCAAATGAGCACCCAATTCTACACTAGAGCCGAACAAAAAATGTATAATCTCAATAAACTGCATTTTAAATCAAACAATGAAGTAAAATAAAAAAGGAAATACATTTTATCGTATCTACACACTACACAAAGGTAATATCCACTTACCTTATTTAGAAATTTCTGTGTCTTCAGTCTGAGCACACAAAATTCCTTAACAACATCCAAAAACTTTCCTCAAACCATGTTTCCTTTGTAATGGAACTCTTTATATGGTTGAGCATTTGAACCCTTCTTGCGACAAAGCCATCTGAACGATCATTACGTTTGATCATATGCATTTCCTTCGTACTTACAGGATACTTATAATTCCGTTGAATTACATCCAACAAAGTTTCTTTTATTCTGTCCTTAATCACTTCAAAAAAAAAGAAAAGAAAACACCTTCGGCTGTCTCGTTCTATACCACCAAACCCCCACTTTACTGCTGGCAGTCATCTTATGCAAAGCACACGATATTGAGGTACTTCCTAACTGACATCCAACAAATATTTTCCCATCAGTCAAATTCACTGCAGTCACCAAGCAATCACGTCATAATAGGGTTTCCATACCATTCAACTACCCAGGTTATTATAAATGGAACAACAATATGGTGATAATACAAGGAGCACCCTAAAATATAGGCTAACCAAATAGAAAGGAGTCATAATGTTAAATCTGTTTATTATGGCAAACTGCATGAAGAGCAAAATAATACCTTCAAATGTGCCTTGTGCTATTGTCATCTTGATTTTCATTATTTTTTAAATGCAGTTAAGGAACAACTTGAGTATAGGACCCCCTAGAATTTGCTGAGTTACCAGAAACGCAACCGCCCAAAAAGTGAGGCAAGCCAAAAATTGGCAGTGGGGTCCTATACTCAAGCTGGACCAAGGTTAAAACTAGCCACAATAGGAACAATCTGTATTATTAGCAAATGTTAGTACATAAATGTTAATTAGACCATGAAAATTGGTAATATATGGGGAAAAGTGTTAAGTCAAAGCGTATCATCCTATATATTTATTTGTGCTTTAACTACAAAATTGTACTTTAGGGAACTCTTAGTAAATTTTTTATAGTTTTTGTTGCCTTGTTTCAACATAACATAGCTTCGCACAATTTACTGGTTAACTATTAAATTATTTTGGGCCTTTAAAAAAAAAAATATTGCCATGTTAATGAAAAGTGGAATAGTTGCCTCCAAAAATATTTAAAATAACACAGATATTTTTAAACTATTTTCTGAAATATTAAGTGTTTTCAAAAAAATTAATGATATTTTTAGAGAAAGCTAGAAATTAGAATTAAGTAGAATCTCGTTAGGCTGTTATTTTTTATGATCATATATGAAAGGCATGGCGAAACTGCGGCTTGCGAGCCATATGCAGTTCTTGCTGCCTTAAATGTGGCTCATTTTGTAATAAGCAACAGTTTTATTTTTTATGTTTCCTACTGTTCGCAGATATTTTAGGAATTTCTCAAAACCTGCACCTATGACTTCCCTTATTGAGTAATCTAGTAAGACGGATTCCTAGGGACAGAAACTTTAAAAACAAGTTTTTTCTGTATGTGGTAGTGAGTCTGGGTTAATTTTACTCACTGCTCAACTAACATTCTGCAGTCATTTTATATTACAAATGTGACTTAATATGAATGGAGGGTGCAAGATCTTGCAAATGCTTCCACAGACAAAGAAATTGATGGCATGCCTAGTTGATATATACACTCGTTGAGCAAGAAAAGAACTTGATAGATTAGGCCCAATGAGAAACGCTTTTGAAAAAATAGTTAATGATTTAGAAAAAAAGTGTATTACATTTCTGAGTGTTGTACTGTTGATGAAAAATTAGAACTGTTTTGCAGAAGATTGCAGTGTATCAAGAGCAAACCAGTGAAATGTGGTATAAAAAAGGTTTACATTGTGTAATTCTTAAACTATTATAAATTCAACAATGAAACCAATCATTTGTCACAATGAAATTATTTGAAGGAATTTACTGTTCACTTAATGAAAGAGCATTTTATTGATAGATCAGAGAACACAAGTATATCACAGAGTATTAGAAATAACTCTAAAAGGATTCTAAATTTACCAGATGACAGACTGATGAAACTTCCGAAGAAATCTCCAGCTTGTCGATGTGAAGAGTGTCTAAAGAAATCTGATTAAAAGGCTTCATCTGTTTGTGAAGAATGCGAGAAATCATTGTGCAAAACCCATTCATTCCTTATATGCTGGAATTGTTGGCTGATCTTTAGAATATGGTAACTGGTAGTTTGGCGACTTTTTGGAGGCGATAAAGGTATAAAATACCTGGGACTTTGGTAATAATGTGAGCAGTACTCAGTTCCGATTACGCATTATTTTGTGTGAGGGAAATGAGAGATCATGGGATATGTCATGTGATATTAATGGACGAATTACGGTTCTTTAATCGGAAAAGGGGGGAATTTGGAAAAATATCTGTGGCTGTATATTATTTTGTATTAAGCTTCGTTGTGTGAAGTAGGGTTGAATAATTTTGGGATTGTATGGCGCTGTCTAAAGTGAAGTCAAGATTTTTAATGCGTTTGTGTGATAATTCAAAAGAATTGGTTGAATGGTGCATGAGTGTAGGTTTAATTGCGGATAAGTATGAATGTCCAAAATGTGGGAATGAAATGAGATTGTGTGAAAGGAAGGATATTACTGGCACGTGGAGTGCTATAAAAAGCGCCATTCCGAGGGCATTGTGATAAAGAGAATTTTGCTTTTTATTTAGCGGAGGAAGTGTGGAGGAAAAATTTGCAGAAAAAATCATTCAATAATTTTATTGAATCCATAATAAAAGTGTATCCACCATGTAAGCAAGATTCTGAAGAAGATTAGGTAAGTTAGTATTTTTAATTATTTGAGGATATTATTTTTATGCGTGGTTCTAAATGTAAGGTGGAAGTAAAGTAATTTGGTATTATTGGGAAAATTGTTATTAGCAATGATTTAGTTTAAAGTAATTAGGATTGTAAGCTAATTTTTATTAATTTAATGTATGTGCTTATTTATATTTTAAGTAGTTTTTGAATTTAATTATATTTTAATTAAATGATAGTTATTTTGTGAATTTTATGTTTGTAGGAATTTGGTATACGTTTTAGTTGAAGTAAACGTGCATGGAAATAATTTAAATATTTGACACTAAGTATTTGTAATGTTTGCGGTAGGAATTCGTTGGTGATGTTTATAATATAATCGATAATTTAGAGGTAAAAGTTTTTGGATATTTTATTTATTTTATACGTGGAAATGTTCATATTTGGAAAGGGTATATACTTTTTCGTTATTAGGTAATTTCATATATGTTCTTTTTAACGGGTTTAAAGATTCAGAAAATCGTCATGCATTTTCGTGAAATTTTTCTAATTTATGAGAAAAAAGCAGTGTACATGGATATGGTGAAGAGTGTGCGCAATGCCATTTTTGTGCAATTCTGGGATTTTTTTTTAAGTAACAATAAGTCGACGTATACATGGTTTAGTGATATTTTAATTAAATGATAGTTATTCTGTGAATTTTATGTTTGTAGGAATTTGGTATACGTTTTAGTTGAAGTAAACGTGCATGGAAATAATTTAAATATTTGACACTAAGTATTTGTAATGCTTGCAGTATGAATTCGTTGGTGACGTTTATAATATAATAGATGATTTAGAGGTAAAAGTTTTTGGATATTTTATTTATTTTATATGTGGAAATGTTCGTATTTGGAAAGGGTATATACTTTTTCGCGATCAGGTAATTTCATGTATGTTCTTTTTACCGGGTTTAAAGATTCAGAAAATTGTCATGTATTTTTGTGAAATTTTTCTAATTTATGAGAAAAAAGCAGTGTACATGGATATAGTGAAGAGTGTGTGCGCAATGCCATTTTTGTGTAATTCTGGGATGTTTTTTTAAGTAAAAATAAGTCGACGTGTACATGGTTTACGTGTGTTATTTTGAAAAACGCGTAAGGAGTATGGTATTGTGCACTTTTTCCCAATTTTGCAGTGAATATTTGTCATGATTAAGCAGTTTTGTTAGATAAAATTTCTAGCATAAGTGTAATTCGGCTAGTAGATTGTTGGAAGAAGTGTTCAGTAGATAAAAAGAAAAGAAACATGTCTTTACTTCGTGAAGACAAAATGGCGGCGGGGAAAAAAAAAAAAAATAGAGGGTTGCTGTAGGAGAGTTGGTCGCCAAATTTTCACCAAAAAATCGCCAAGTTACCATAATCTAAAGATTAACCGAATTGTTTTACACACACACACACACAAAAAAAAAAAGGGTGAAAAAAATTATTTCCGTGAATAATAATAATGAAAAATATTTTGAGCGTAAATAAGAAAACTGAATAAATCTACCAACTGAATATGAATGCTCAATACGGACAGTTTAAGCCTTTTTTTACTCAAAATATTCGATTACAGACAGGATTCAAAATATTCATTTTATTAATATTTAAACACTTTCCTACAAGAAAAATATTGTTCATTTTATGTATTAAATGTTTGAGAACGGTGGAAAATAAATGAATGTTGAAAAAAGGATGCCAAATCAAAGATTAGCTTAAAATTAAATTTTGTTTTTTTCATTTTGAAAATTGAATTTTAAAACAAATAATACATACTGATGCTTACAAAATTACTCAAATAACCAGTTTAGGTGTAATATTTTGTTTAAAAATGCCTATATCTTACTGAGAAGCAAGTGTAAAAGTTGACGTCAAATGGACCGGTGTGTGTATGTGGTAATGTTGCAGAAAAGTGTGCATGTAGGGCCATTCATATTGGGATATATCTGAGCTAACAGAGTTGGTATAGTGTGTTTGCTAGCTGCCCTGTATGTAAAAATTCAGATTCTTCAAATGAAGAAAAACTGTTTTTTGACACCAGGAATGTTGTGCCAGATGTATCCGTTAGCTCAGATAAACTCTGTGAATGTCTCTTTTCAGAACAACAGAAAAGACAGTTATATTAGCAATACTCAACATCAATTATGTACACTGTAAAAAAAAACTGGGACAGTTTTCTCCCATTCTATTAGCACTATTATAGGATTAATACATACAAAAGCTGGTATAAACCATCTTTTGTACTTTCTTTTTCCAAAAGTTATACCTGTTAAGGAATATTTATCGTGTATAAAAATGTTACTTTATGTTGGCATGCTGAGTGATTTTGTTACATTACTTCAGCTCATTATTAATTTGAAGACTACAGTTTAAATGTTGTCAACATCTTAGATTAATAAATGGTGTTTATTTATTTATTTTTTAAATTTTCTCTGTTTAATATATAATGAGTATGCTAAACTTTTCAGTAGTATATTTCTCTCTCTTGTGTTCATTAATTAAATTATGACTTAATGTCTCTCAGTAGAGGAGTGCAAAAGATCACCTTGCACTGGTATGTTCTAAATTTGATTCTCATTCATTGCATTGGCTGGATGCATAGAGCTTTTGTCCTCACGATTTTCACCACATGTGTGATTATGGACCAATTTTCCGGTACTATTCCGTTTTGAGGACCGTAAAAAAATTGCAGCGAAAATGTATGTGCAAAAGCGGCAAATCTAGCAAACGTGCCCATTTAACAGCACGCCAAATCTAACGTACGCGCTGATTTCAAATTGCGTAAGTTTAGGATAGTTCTATATATCTTAAGACGCCACTAAAATACTAGTTTAATTTTTAAATAATTTTTTGATATCCTATGGATTTAACAATTTTGAAATTGTCCTTGACGAAAAGTCTGCAATAGAATTTTTTTTCAAAGATTTCCAAAATATTTAATTTTTTTTATTATATAATTTTAATACTTTTTTATATATAATTTTAATATTTAATTTTATATTTCCAAATAATTTAATATTGCCAAAATACTTCTTGAAGGCATCATTCATTATAGAAAATTATGTTTGAACAACCAACGAGATGAAATTATGCTTTAGCGATAACTTGGTAGCGAAATAGCGATGCAGGAATCCATTCAGTTATGTTTAGCCCTTTTTATATAAATTATAACAATGATCTAAAATCATTATTTACTCTTATGCTTCCATTCAATTATGTTTAGCCATTTTTATATAAATTATAATAATAAAAAAGTATTATATGAAATTCATCTTTCATCTAAATTGAAACAATAATATTATATAGTTATTTACTACTACTATACTTCCTTTTTTGCGTTAGGGTTGCCGCAATTATTTTTGGCAGCACTGGTATCAACAATAGTTTGGCAATTTTTTACGGTCCTCAAAACGGAATAGTACCAATTTTCCTTTAAAACTTTATGGTGAGAATAGCTATCCTACATATATCCTGTTTTATTATAAATATCAAATCATTGTAAGTTATGATTGAGATATAGTATGTGTTTTTTCCTAATATCAATTCATATCTGAAAGTAATGTCAATGGTAATATACATGCAAAAATAAATTGTGAAAATATTCTGAACTAATGGTATACCTTAAGAAAATAATATTGATTATAATTTATGTTAAAAACAGTAGTTATTTTGTTATGTATATTATTAATTTTGTAATTCATTTCTATCTTTCATGAGGAGCCAAGTATTCCTTTACCATTAGATCCTCTACCACCACCCGAGGCTGATGATAAGAGACTGTGGATTGGAAACATTGACAGCCGACTAACAGAGTAAGATTTATGTTCTTTATTTTATGGGATATCTTTGTTTCCTTTTATCAGATCTTGATTTCATTTGAATTTAAGATTTATATATTTGATTTCATATGGCACTTGTGAAACTCTTACGCAAACTGGGTTTTGAATGAAATCAAGATTTATATATGTAAACTGAGCAAGAAAATTTACGATAATAGAAAGATTAAGCAAATTGATTTATGTAATGTATTTTTTAATTACAAATGCAGCTTGGTTAAATTTCTCAATAATAAAATTCATAAGTTACTGTGTTTGCCGAAGTATTAAGACACACCCCCTTATTTATACATGTTTATGAAGGATGAAACTTTATTACTGAACATTATAATGAATTTACAGTATTTTAAATATAAAGTAATACAAATACAAAGTAATACTTTCTGCAAATACCCAACCTGTCTGGGAAAAAACACCTTTTAATCTTCTTCATCGAAACCTAGACACTCATCTTCAGAGCTAAATGAAGAATCACTTGAAACCTCTTCTAAATCAGCATTTGAGTCTTCATACAATACATTGTCCTCTGTACCATCGAGTGCATTATTAATGCCACACTTCTTGAATGATTTAACCACTATCTCTCTTTTCACACATCCTATGAAGCTTTGACCCATTCACAAGCTTGCAAAATGCTAGACCTCTTCCTTCTTCCTGATGGTGTAACCTCAAAATTTGAAGACTGCATCCAGCTGTTCCACTTTTCCTTCATAAATCCCTTAAATGGTTTATTAATCCAGACATCTAAAGGTTGAAGCTGACTAGTTAGGCCTTCTGGAATTACAGCTGAGTTTTCAATTCTTTGAGTTAATTTTTAACATCTTCTGTGAGAACAAAAGTGATTCTATACTAGTTGGCCAGGTTTCTTCAACAGTCCGCCAGGGTATCTTGATCAAATTTTATCTATTCATAACTTTGTTCCTCCTCCATCATCCAGCCTTTTGCATTAACATGTGTAAACATTCCTTTCTTTGGATAATGTCTTCATTTTAAAAATCAATAGTGAAAGCAATTTTGTACCATTGGCACAGCAGGATAAAACAACCGTATAGTTAGTCTTTTTTTGTGCCCTGAAGTTTTAACAGTAACACATTTTATTCCTTTGGAATCTACAGTTTTGTTTAAGGGCACATCAAAAAGGAACCAAGTCCATCTTCCTATTTGTGCTAGTTCAAAATTTTTTCGTTTCCATGCATTAATAACAAATCAATGAAATTCAATAATTTTTTCTTCGTATTCATCTGGCATCTTTTGCAATATTTTTGTTGTAGTCTGCATACATAGCTGGTATCTCTTAATGAAAATTAAACACTATAATGTTGATCCAGTAAAAATTGTCTTTATCAGTCGCTATTGCTTTTGTTTGATGAATAATCATTTTTGTAGAGACTGAATTTCCCACTTTTTTGTTGTCTAAAATCCAAGTATTCAGCTCTGCCTCAAGTTCAGGCCATTTTTCAGTTCCCCTTTCGTAGGTTATGTTTAGCGCGAGTTGTTATGTTATGTATGTTACTGTGTATCAACATATAAGATGCACCCCATTTTTCAGACCTATTTTCAAAGCAAAAAAATGCATTTTATATGCTGGCAAATACGGTAATTGTACCTTTAAATGAAAATTTTCTGTATTAAAAATAACTTTTAATTTATAGAAATATGCTTTGCTTTTATCAAGGAAAAGAAGAATAAAAACAATTTCTTTTTTCACACCAATTAATAGCTGGATATTTATGAAAAGTTAAAGGTACTTTTGGATTATCTGCACATCGATTGACAAGTTGAAAAAGAAAATTATCAAGAAACTAAAAAATAATAAATCGGTCAAAATCTGCCTTTGCAAGCTTGTGAAATTCCTTGGACATCATTAAATGACATATAAACAAGACACCATAGATTGTGATTAATATTGCCAAAATACTGCTTGCATATAGGTTCGTAATAGATTGAATGCAGAGAGGTCCAATGATAGGTTGATAAAAGTTATTTTATCAAAAGAAATGCTTCAGAGTTCTGGAATTTTCCACAGAAATGCTTGTATAGGTGTCCACAGTATCGCACAGTACAATCAGTAGTTACACTTCAAACTGCTAGAACTGCGGTCATGAACCTGTGGTCCGTGAAAACTTTTTGATGGTCCTTCAGAAAAATTGAGACATTATTTACATTTTTATGAAAATTCAGTTTAAAAAATGACAAGTAACAAAACCTATTATGGAATATGGATTATACTGTTTTTTAAATTTAGTTACTACTTTTAACAAAATTCCTATTCAGCAACTTTTTAGCTACTTTTGCAGGTGTATTTAGCACCATTTAAAAGTGAAAGTTGTCATCTATGGATATGCCATGGATGCCAATCAATAATAGTGTTACGTTTTTTCTTTTCCGACACCAGTTGTTGCGTTATTTTCTTCCTTCATGTTCGTATGGGGTTCATGTGAATTTTGAGTGAAAAACGACGACACTTGATGAAGTATCGAAACACACTTTATTTGCTAGCATTGTCAGGACAGCTCCAAAACACATTTTACAGTCATCGATGAACTACTATAAGCATGCTGGCATGATCAGCGACACATCCTTTAGGTTATCAGGCTATCACGGTGGAGACAGCTTCCTGCAAAGCACCCGACTCTGCTTTCCGGAGTACAGCTCCCGACTCTGCTTGGTCGTTCTCGGAACTCCATGTACTCTCGAGACTCTCCACGCTACAACTCACAATGCACTCTACGACACACGAGCGCAGCTCCCGACTCTTCGGTTTAGTCGTTCTCGGAGCTCAACACGCTCTCTCGATGATGCACTAACCGCGATACACTAACAGACTTCTTCGGTGCACTCGGCACTCGCTGCCCAGCTGTCAACTCGGTAGACTCTGCAGGGATTGACTCGCTAGACGAGACACCAACTCGATACTAACTAACTCTCACTCTAGACGAGGCACACACACACACCAACTGATTGCGGATCAGCAGAGTTTACATAGCTTTCGGCTTGTGTTCAGGAACATTCTGGGCTAAACCGGTAAGAATTCGTTCCAGAAGGTTCTCCATCCGTCCATAGTATATTGCCAATTTTGTCGCCAAATGGCTGTTTTTTTGTTAAATGTGGCAACCATGCCATTTTACAACCTTGCCATTGCAACCTGCCCTGCCCATAAAATGGCAACCCTAAAACTGCTTTGCAGGGAAGCCATCTCACCGCCCTTGTACATTTCGTAACAATAGCGCAACTGGAATGCTCTTTCCTTTTGAATTACAAACATATGCTATTGTAGTCATTAATAACACAGTTTTTTTCTTTGTCAATAGGCAACTTAATGGACTTTATAAGAGTGTCTAACCATCTGCATTCTTGTTTATAATTCCATCACTGGAAGTTTGTTTTTGTTTTGTCTAACTGTTGATGGATGGGGCCATTGCTGAGTAAGCAATAACTATTATGTTTACAATAATTAAAAGTTGGCGGCATAACACTTTCAATTTATTAATATTGCTTTATGTTTGCCGGTTTGTTCTTGCTTTTCGTGAAGTTCCTTTTCAGCGATATGGAAATGTGAAGCTTTTTATACAAGAAGGTAAGATGTTTGTACTTCGTATATAATTTTTCAGTGTGAACGAAATATGTGTATCAATGAGATGTTAATAGTGTTTTAATTGTTACTCGTAATCAGTGGCGTAGTGTGAATTTTCATAAAGGCATGCTGCTGAACACCAAATGTTTTGAAAATTATATTAACAAAAGAAAATTAGAATTACACGTATTGGAAAGTTGAATATTGTTTTTTCGTAATAATATGTTGTTTAACATTGCATAATTAGAAAATAATTTATTGCATTTAATCAATATTTTAAATTCCTCAGATTTAAGGGTTTTTTTTTTTTTTTAAATTCATATTAGTGGTCCGCCAAATATTAAAATTATATATGTAGTGGTCCATGAAGTTCTAAGGGTTGACGACTGCTGTACTAGAATGTTAAACACAATGCAAGCAAAGCACATCTAAGAAGGCAAAGCTTTCAATACTTTGAAGTCACTCTGAATGAATAACAATAACAAAAACTACTATGAGCAGATGCTCCTGCCACTCTTATATACACTGGTGTTCAAAAATTAAGGATGAGACGGTTTTTTCAATATAACTGTGTTGTACAAAAGCTTTCCAAATCAACACATTTAATACCGTAAGATCCCCAATACGTAAGGACATGAGTAATGTAAGCAACACTTACTAAAAGAGAAATCAGAGGGATAAAAAGAAGCTTTATTGAAAAAGTAGCATGGAGCGCAATGCGACTGAAGGCCGAAACATCCCTGTGATGGGTGTTCAGCAAGAAACATCCGGTCTTTAATAGGGGATATGATCTCCCCTGACTGCTAGGCAGGTTTCACAGCGTCTGCCCATGCTGAGAATGAGGGTGTCAATGAGTTGTTAAGGCATTGCTGCCCATTCGTCAATTGCAGCGCCAATCGAAGCTCCGGAATCGTTACTGGTGGTAAGGTACGAGCTGCCAAGCGTCTGCCTAGAAAATCCCATACATGCTCGATGGGATTGAGATCCGGAGATCGTGCCGGCCAATCCATACGTTCAATATCCTCACTCTCTAAGAGCTGTTCGGCAGCTACTGTGCGATGACACGGTGCATTGTCGTCCATGAAAAGGAACTGCGGACCCATAGCGCCTCTAAAAAGACGCACGTATGGAAGAAGAATCTCGTTACAATAACGGGTCCCGTTGACTGAACCTGCGTTGAAGATGTGAAGGTCTGTACGACTATCAAGCATGCTGCCTCCCCAAACGAGAACACCGCCACCTCCATACCTGTCCCTTTCAATGATGTTCGAGGGATGATTGCGGCTTCCCCGCTCTCTCCAGATGAGTATGCGATGAAAATCGCTACTCAGACTGAATCTGCTCTCATCTGTAAAGAGTACTCGTCCCCATTCATTGTCTCTCCAATTCCGGTGTTCCCGGC